CCCCAAAAAAAAACTTCTGTTGTCGTTTGCAGGAGAAAGCTACTTCACTCCTTCCTTCGTTCATCCGTCTCCGAACCCTACATTCTTGTTCAGTCGACAGCAACCTCCGAGCTAATCTTCTCTTGAGACCCGTATAAGTTTCTTCGGAGTTTCTTTTCCGCATTCCTTCCCGGGGACGAGCGCCGGAATGTTGGTTTCCGACCGCAGTCGTTGTGTCTGTTTATGGATGTGGATACTTTCCGTGGAGAACCTTTGACGCTATCTTTGTGTTGCCATGGGGAAGAATACCGACGAGGAGCGTATTCAGCAGGCGAGCGACGCTGCCGTGGCGGCTGAGAATAATGCGCGTCGTAGCAGATGCTCCGGTTGTTGTTTTTGCGGCTGGATCTCGAGATTCGTTAGCCTCAGATGTGTTCTGGTTCTGGCGTTTTCTGCTGCGGTGTTTCTTTCCGCGTTGTTTTGGTTGCCTCCGTTCCTCGGATTTAGAGATCGGAAAAATCTGGATCTGGATCTCGACCCAAGGTTCAAAGGTGATAGCGATTTCCTCGGTCCTTGGCTTTGTTCTCCTTCTGGGTTTCGTTTCTAGCTCGAGAAATCGATCTAGGCGTGATTTGTGGTACAGATTCAGGTTTTCTGATGTGATATTTCATATTTGTATCTCAGGTCTTTCCCAGTCTTCTAAAATGGACAGGCTTAGTTCTGAATAAGATCCCGTTGTTCATCTGTGATTAACTTCCTACATTTTTGGAAATGATCTTGGGAATATATATAGATATGTATATCCCCATTGCCTTGCTTTAGAGTTATGATGAAATGGATATAGACCCTGATTCAGGAGCCGATATATATGTTCTCTTAGTCTGAAATTGATTGATAAGGGGATGACTATGAATCTATATTTAGTATTGTAGACTTGTTTTGTGAATTGAGACTGCTGTCTGTAAGTTGCTAATTGAGACTATGGCAATGGCTGCACTCCAAGCACCCATTCTTTGCCAGAGAATGTTAGGAATATAAGTGGGAATTTGATTTATTCCAAGAATTTCTCCCACCTGATAGAGCCACTGATGAATCTATACATAGCCTGCATAATTTGGAAAGTGACCATGTTTTCATGTGAAAACTGAATTGTATGCCGCGTCCACTTGAGTGTTGTTCTCCGTGATCCTGTTGTTTGATTTTGTTCTTTGCATTTCTCCTTTCATGATGGTTTCATACCTCAGGCACATAACAATGCAAAGTTTGGCTTTTTCATTTTTTGTTTCTTGTGCAGATCATGCGATAGTGGCGAGTTTTGATGTTGAAAAATCAGTTTCATTCTTAGAGGAGAATATGTTACAGCTTGAGAACGATATCTTCGATGAAATAGGCATCCCAAACACAAAAGTATCAACACTTCCCATCCTTGTCGTACTCATATACATCTTACTGTTTCTGTATTGATCACTCTCTATCTTTGGTTTTCTTTCTCCTTGAGACAGGTTGTTGTTCTAGGTCTTGAACGTTTTGGTAAAAACTCGAACAGAACAAGGGTTGTGTTTGGAGTTGATCCTAAGAAGAAGAACTCAAAGATATCTCCCGAAATCCAGAGTTTGATAAGAGCGGCTTTCGAAACTTTGGTCATAAAGGATTTGTCTTTTCGCTTGACCGAATCCTTGTTTGGCCAACCCTTCTTATTCGAGGTGCTGAAATTCCCTGGAGGAATCACCATTATCCCTCCGCAGCCGATATTCCCTCTTCAGAAAGTGCAAATACATTTCAACTTCACCTTGAACTTCTCAATAGACCAAATACAATCAAATTTCTACCAACTCACAAGCCAGCTGAAGCAGGGAATAAACCTTTCACCATATGAGGTAATGTCAATACTAAATTCTTACTCTGTTTCTGCCTTTTTCGACAACAAAACTGTAAAATAACCACAGATATGTTCTGAATCATGACATCCTCTTCTTGTTGATCGCAGAATTTATACGTAACTTTATCAAACTCCAGAGGATCGACGGTCTCTCCTCCTACAACGGTTCAGTCTTCTGTTCTGATGATATTTGGTAATAACCCTTCGAGGCTGAAGCAGATTGTTCAAACCATCACCAGCTCCCATTCAAAAAACCTCGGCCTCAACCACGCGGTCTTTGGTAAGGTTAAGCAAGTCTGTCTTTCCTCAATCCTGCAACATTCCCTCAATGATGGAAAAGGAGGAAATGCCCCATCATTGTCCCCAAACCCTGCCCCTCAACCTAGTCCCCATCATCACCATAACAGCTACTTATCTCCTCACCTTGCTCCTGAACCTTCACCTGGCAACAATGGCTTTGCACCTGCATCAGCACCCACCAAACATTCTCGTATACCTTGGAAGAGTGGCATTGCCTATCCGCCTTGCCATTTTCGGTACTGGAGGTCAAACAGAAACATCAGTCCAAAGCTGTCTCCTCACCATCTGGTGGCTTCAACACCGATACAGTCACCAGCACCAAGCCCTGCTCCGATTCACCATTCAATCCCAGCCTCCAGTCCTTCGCCAAATCCCGTGCTCGCTAATACACAGTCTCCATCAAGAAATGACCCAGAAACTCAACAGCCCCATGAATCGCCAACAATCTCACCACCACCTTCTCAAAATTGTGAGTATTACTTCTGAATGTCATCATCACTTACCAACCCACAAAAAAAATCCAATCTTTGAATCAGAAAGTTGACTAAGTGGCTTGGTCTGTGATGCAGCTTCCGCTCACATAGGCCAGACAAGGAAATGGGCAAGATTGATCCTTGTATTAGCAGCTGTAATGTGTCTGTAATACAAAATGCAGGAGAGAAGCTGCTTAACGTTCAAGCTGTAAAAGACAAAGCAGCAGTTCTTAAGCACTTCTTACTCAAAGGTAACTGTATAAATCAGCAGAAGAACATATGTAATCCACATTTATACATAAGAAAAAGCAAAGAAAGAAATGAAGAGAGCAAATAGGTTTTGTAAGAGCGGGTTGCAGCACAAAAAGTGTGTTTATGCGACCCCCCCTCATATATATATATACATACACACACACAACATTTTCTATGCATTCTGTAAATAAAGTGTTTTTTATGATGAATTGGCAGACAAGACAATGAAAGTGGGTTAATACCCAATTGGGTTTTGACTATATTCGGTTATAGATTGTTTATTTATTTCAGTTTCGACATTTTCTTTTATCAATTCTATTTTCAATCTCTGACAGATTGTAAATCAAAATGAACCAAACGACCAAAACAATTTCTGTAGTTTATTTTTGGCAATTTTCTTTTCCGTTTTCCACCGAGAAGCGAGGGAAAAACAGAAGTTTTTCGAAACATAAATAAAGGGCAAATAAATATAGTAAGGAATAAATAAATTTGAGGGGGGAAGAACAAAAAAAGGGGAGGAGGAAGTAGGTTTTTTTTGGGGGGAGGGGAGTCGGAAGGGAAGAGAAAATTTTCCGGTGAGATTTGACAGTGTCGGTTCTCTGACGCTCCCCAATTTTTTTTCTTTCTTCGTCTCTCCCTGAATGCCTTCATCCGTGTTCAGGGTACGTCTCCATTCCCATGAATTCCTCTTCTGATGGTTCCTGTTAAATCTCTTTCCCTGTAGACTTTTTAATCTCCGTTTTCCTCTGGGCTTCCCGAAAAATCTGATCTTGCTCGATATTTTGCCGAATCGGCGTTGATTTTGATGGGCTTTGCGGCGATCATTGCGCTTTTGTTGTTGTTGGTGATGGTGATAATGACGATTAGGGCTTGTTCAGTTTGAATGTCTCTTCGATTTCTAAATCTCTTCTTCTCGCTGAGGTCCTGGAGATTTTGCTTTCTCCAGTTTGACAATTCTTTGCGATGATTTTTCGTTATATTCGATTGAATCCGGAAGCGTTTATGTATAATCGATGTGAATTCGATGGATTGTTCAACAAGTAAATTGCTTCCATGTATAGACTTCGACCTGATATTATGGGTTCGTGTCTATTTCTGGGAATTAAGCCTTCGAGCTATTTCTTAAGAAACTTTTTTTTATGGCGTAAATTGCAGAAACTTGCGGCGATTTATGAACGGAGGAGCAACGGATTAAAAGGTTAACAATCGACATTGTTCATATCATAAAAAAAAAATGCGTTTCTGATGTTTATAAGCTAATGGAACTGGAAAACAAATGCAGGCGCCATGGATTCAAGCGATGCTAAGGATATCATCTTGTGGCCATATATAGATCCAAGATTCGGAAAATCGAAGTAAATTTTCAGCTGAATTAGGTCTGTTGATAATAGAGGGAAACGAGCACTTTTTCTGTTGTTTGTGTAGAAAGTATGAGAAATCCAGAGTGGTGACTGCAGATAAATCTGAGAATCATTGCCAAAGTTGGCATGAACTGCTTGGCTGCTACCATTGTCTTCACTTGTAAGCCGATCTCGGATATGGCTATTGTTATATCCTCTCAAAGATGCAGACTCCACTCCCTAACCAACCTCGATTACAACTTTCTCGAGTGTAGCACTAAGCAAACCGACCTTGCACACTCCTTGAACCGAGCCTTTGAAGACGACAACTTCCATCGCAGCATCTCCACTCCATGCTTCTCCATAGCAGCGGCTGCTAAACTGGAGGAAGAGTTCCAAGCCGCGGCTCCTAGGGTTGAGATTCTTGGTGGCCGGAGAGTGCCCTCTGTGCGTGCCCTCGTGGCTGAAGTGGCCATGGCTATGGTTTCTGGAGTTCAGCCTCTGCTTTTACCGAGTGGGTTGGGAGGTGCGTATCTGTTGCGGTCCGGAAGGGGTCATAGCATTGCAGTGGCCAAGCCAGTTGATGAAGAGCCTTTAGCCTTCAACAATCCTAAAGGGTCCGGAGGTTTGATGCTTGGGCAATTGGGAATGAAACGGTCTGTTCGTGTCGGAGAGACAGGCATCCGGGAACTGGCTGCTTACCTCCTTGACCACCAAGGTTTTGCCGGCATTCCAGACACAGCATTGGTCAGAATCTCGCATGTCCCCTTCCATGTCAGTGACGCGTTTCCATTCTCCACCATGCCCTATAAAGTAGCCTCCTTGCAACGGTTCGTGGGTCATGATTTTGATGCAGGGGAATTAGGTCCCGGAAGCTTCTCGGTTGCCTCGGTTCATCGTATTGGGATACTCGATGTGAGAGTCCTGAACCTCGACAGACATGCTGGAAACATGCTCGTGAGGAGATGCGACCAAGGGGTGGGTCATAATCGAGTTGGGGCTGCTGAGCTTGTGCCTATAGATCATGGTCTCTGCCTGCCTGAATGCCTTGATGATCCTTATTTTGAATGGCTTAACTGGCCTCAAGCTTCGGTTCCATTCACTGATTCTGAGCTTCAGTACATATCCAATCTGGACCCTTTCAAAGATGCAGAGCTTCTAAGAACTGAGCTCCGCTCCATCCGGGAATCATCCATACGAGTCCTTATTGTCTGTACGATTTTCTTGAAACAAGCTGCAGCTGCAGGGCTCTGTCTTGCAGAGATAGGCGAGATGCTGACCCGGGAATGGAACTACGGGGAAGAAGAGAGATCCAGTTGGTTAGAGCTCCTCTGCACAAAAGCAAAGTCAAGCATGGTGGATGAACGTGACGAAGATGATGATTACAATCACAAATGCAACGATTCAGAAACTGGAGGAGAGTGTGGAAATCTTCAACTCCATGGCGAATTTGAAGATACCCCAAGCGAGGTGTCCATCCCTGCAAATCTCTCCCCAGCCTTGTCTTCACCTGCCCAATGGATTCCCGATCACAAGAGAAGTGATGTCAGAGAAGAGGGCAGGAGGGTCGGGCTTATCGGGAGGAGCAGAAGCCACCCGACCCGAGTAAATCGTGAAGAAACTGGAGGTGTTTCTTTCGGGGACATGAAGACAAGTGAGTGGGAGATGTTCTTACAGACATTCCAGACGATCCTACCAGAAGCACTTGAAGAAAGATCGGACAGCAAGGGATCGAAGCCGAGATTCGGATGTTCCTGCGAGTTTTGAAGAAAAGGGTTCAAAGAAGAAACCTAAGAGATTATGAATTCCGTGGAAAGATTAAATCTTTTTGTTTTCTGGTGTTTATAATATGATAGGTAACAGGTATGCATCATCGGCAACATGAACATAGTGGCAGCTTGTAACTATTAAGACCCATTTGAAAGAAAGCAAATGGAAGAGTGAGACGAGCAGAGACTGAGACGCCGTCCAATCCGTTTACTTCTTTCATCTTCTTTCTCATTTCCTGTTGTATCGAACACAAACGTACCATGAATTTGTGTAATGAATTGATAATATGATTTTATTGTATCCTCCTCCCTTGCATCCGTTTCTATTGTTTGCTTTACCAATACGTTAAGATCCCATGTGATCAATCTCTATGCGACAATCATTTCGAGGATATCTTCGTCAGACAAGATTCTACTAAACTGTCGTCTGGTTCGGGAGTTTGGACGGTAACACAACACGCGTTAGGAACGCGATCGCGGTTAAGAACGCAAACGCGGTTTTGGAAATGGAGATAGATTTCGCCGTCGTCTTTTTTTTTTTTTTTTTTTTTAGAGTTTTTCTCCTGTGAAAGAAATGGAGTAGAGCAATGTCGTTTCCAGTACTCGTATGTAACGGCTTGACGTTAATTTCTCACGTTAACAGAGCCCTGTGACGGTTGTGCGTAAATGGGCCTTATTGGGCCGTTGATGGGCCATTATACGGATAGTCGCTTCTCATATCCATCGCTCCAGGGAGTCTCTCTCTATATATAGAGTTTTATAACTCAAATGTTCAATGTACACAAGTTTATGACAAAATTAGGGGGTCTTAGTCAAAATCGAAATGTCACAACTAATACTAATCAGCTCCTTCATCAATCTTACTCTACAAAATCAAAAGTAAAAAAAAAAAAGGAGAAAATTTCTTTGGACAGAAAAAAAAAAAACAGAGTGTAAACTTGTCCATGCTTATCATCCATCTTTGATTGTATATTTCGCCTCAAGAAACGTATAAGCTCGCGACGACGCATCCTTAGTTTTTACCATCGACGTCTGCACGTTTTTTTTTTACTGCAAAAAAACCACCACCGGAGACTGTAACTTCGCCGCCGTTGACTGCCTTTCCACGTCATCTTCATCGCCTTGTCCGATTCCGGGCTTTACCGAGAGATGGGCGCTTTGAATATCGGAGCTGCAACACTTGACGGTTTCAAGAATCTCTTGCTCGAACTCTCTGTGCTTTCCCCATAGCGAGGTGCATAATCCCACCATTAACAGAACCATACCGAGAACCCTGAAAAAACCCGGTACAAGAATTGAGTTCGGTTTCGATTCAGACAATATCTAACTGGTATTCAATACCCTGAACCTAACCCGTATTTAAAACCTAGACGGGTAGGTTACATACCCGAGAAGGTAGATTCTTTCGCCGAATATGAAGATGCCCATGACGGAGACGATGATGACGACAAGAGGGTTGAAAGAAGCGACAAAAGCAGGTCCCTTTTGCTTCGTCATCAGCCCTTGAACATAGTACGCTATGCTCGACGAGATAACGCCCTATATATATATATATATATCCGATATATATAACGATTCAATCGCAAGTATTGTTACTCGATATGCCCTAGAATTGAATTAATGACTTACCGCATATGCAGAGGCGAGAAATTTCATGTCGAATCCGATATTCCATGCAGACTGATCGCGTTCCATTACAAACGTTACGGCCGCAGAATTTAACGTTCCCAAGAAACAGACCATAGCCGACAGCGACATGTGAGCTGAGTATCTCTTCAGTGTAGCCGCCTGCATGCGTTATCATCACGATTAGTTCAAGTGGTAAGAAAAACGAGAAAGAAGGAACGAGATTAGAAAAGGGCATGCACCTGAAGAATGAAGAAGGAAGAGAAAGAGAGGGAGGAGATGAGGAGGAAGACAATGGCCGTCAATGGCGGATGAGTGTGGAGGAAGTTGATGAAAGGGCCTTTGTACAATACCGTCATCATGGCTCCAACCACTGTCACCACCGTCCCCACCACTTTTGCTTGGCATCTTACTTTCTTCATCTCCACCTTCTCCATCCTTTTTCATCCCACCATTCTTTTTTCAATATCTCCGTATAGGTGTACGCACATATATACCGTATCCGTGACTTTTATATGTATATATATATGTCAATATATGATGTACCTGCACAAAATGGCGAGGATGAAGGTCACTACAGGCACGATACTGGTCACGGCACAGGAGAATGTCGGTGAGGTGAGTTTTAGACCGGCGTAGTACAAGTTCTGATCTATCACCGGCCTGCAACACACATACAACGTTTTCGTCTATCCATTATTAATTCCATGACCTACATATATATACAATCATCTATATATGTATATACTTATATGAAGATCAAACGAACAATATATAACAAATCTTGATTAGAAGAGTAGTTGATCAAGAAAGAGACTAACCCGAGAAGACTTAGCACGAAAATTTGGATGAAGACCGGAAACGTCATCTTCGGCCTCACCTTCCTACACAAAAACAGAAAAGAGATGAGATCGAAATGCATGGTTTAAGGCTTGGGAGATCGAAATAGAGAAGCTTACCGCTCGGAGAGAAGAGCAAAGGGAGCTAAAACGGCGGTGGCAAAGGCCTGACGGTAGACGACGAGCACGTAATGGCTCATGCCACGGTCGAGGACGGCCTTGGTGATGAGGTTCATGCCTGCGTACCCAAACTGAAGGCACGCCATTGCGAAGTAAGGCTTGGCCGATTCCGACATCCTCGTATCCATCTTGAGTTCTATTTTTTTTTCTTTTCTTTTTGTGGTTATAAAAATGTGAATACGGTGTTCTTAAGGGTTAGGGTTCTTAGTAAGGGAGGAAGAACACTTGGGGGTTATGTGTTTCCTAAGGACAATGGGAAGAAAGGTTACTTGAATTTATAGCATATTATGTAATTATCGGCTACGTATGTCCATTTGATTTTTTTTTATTTTTTTGAGTGACGTTGGCTTTAATATTCCCAATACGAAGAATCGTATTTCTTTTGCAAAATTAGGTGGATGTAATATTCGACCAAAATCATTAAAAAGATTTCGCCAAACCAAACAGAAATACGATACTTGATCCATTGTGTGAACAACATAAAATATCATCGGATATAGTTCGAACGAATATATTCGAGATTCTAACATTTTTAAATCTAAATTATTCAGTTTGTATCAGTATATATAATCGATTTTTTTTAATTTATAGCATCTGAAAATTTTGCTGGTTATTGTTTTTAAGTTTAGCTATTTTATTCATGAATCCTCAAAAAAATAAAAATATTTAAAGGGAAAAATAAAAAAAAAATATGAACGAAGGGAAATGGATAATATTATAAAAAAAATCGAAATGGACGGTAATTAAATAATAGAGTGCATTGGGATATTATTCTCGAATTCGGCATCTTAGGCTTTTCTAACAAAAGTAAGAATAAGTGGATAGAGTGAGTTACACGTGGCGACAATCAAGTGGAGCCCAGCTTACGTGTGTAGGACCCATATACAAATCTCCCGTTTTATTTTAATAACACATCAAAGATATAGTCATATGTATATATTAAAAATATGGACAATTTTTTTTTTATTTGGCTAATGTATTGCATTGTTTTGATTTGATGTATAATATAACAAAATTTTATATCGATTCGGTTATAAAATATTAGTTAGAGCAGTGAAGTAGAAATAACAATTAATAAAAATCCGAAATTGATTAAACATTTTTATCTCTGAGAAATTAATATTTTTATTAATATTTTGCATGCATGAATTCCTTTTCATCGACAATTCATATCTTCATCCTACATTGTATAAGCTTATTTTCTTTTAAGTTTTAGTGTTTTACCATGTATCGTGTTTCTTTCGATTTTTTTTCACGTTTTTTAATATTTTTAGAACTTTAAAAAATATCTGTTTACACTAAAAAAATTATTTAATTTAATTTTTATATTTTTATTGAGATATATATTACATGATAAAAATGTTACTTGTCATACAATAGTGCGAGTTCTTTTTGATCGGATAACCCCCATCATCAATGAGTTTCGAGTCTAATATTATTTCCACACTAATATTAAAATTTGAAAAAAAAAGATACTTAAATACTTAATTAATTATCTATTTTTATTTTTCGCCATCCGTTTCCGTTTGTATTAAGATTTTCTTTACAAAGTTGGGGAAGGTTTCGCGTCTCTATCTCTTAATTTTATTTGATAGAAGACACACACACACACACACATATATATATATATATATATATAGCGCAATGTTTTTTTTTGGTAATAGTAAACTATTTCAATTAAAGATCGAAACATGTGATTCTTCATTACATATATGTTTAGATTATTACGTAGATGACGTAATATACATATACATATATAAATATATATACATACACACACATATATATATATATATATTTTACAAATGCACACGGCCGACCATCCCTTCTAAGTATTTGCAATCACATATGATGATGAAAATGGAAACGTACTATATGAAATATTGAAAAATAGTATTACAATATAATTTCACGCTGGCAAAAAATAGTGAATGTGGAACTACTGCAGCCACAACCACATTTGGTGTGTACAGTGTGCACCAATATCAATGTATCATGGCATATATCTATATATATATATATATATATATATTCTAATGGCCCATCATCCAAAAGCAACATTAAGAAACCAAACTGCATTATAGGAATATAATTTCACAACTATATATAGAATCCATTCTTTGTTAAAATGTTATCCAAATCTTTGAAAAGATCATTTCATAATCTTGAAATAACAATATATATTATATACACACTGATCCCCTAAAGCGAATCAAACAATTGAATGCCAATAGTAACAAAATGAACATTCTAGATCACATGAACTTTTTTTTTTATCATATCGTGAGGAAGTTATACTTTACAAAAACTGTGATATTGATCATTATGATTAGAATTATATGAAATAATCATTAGATACTTGATATGGTTGATAAAGAGACCAATGGGGGACCAAATGCGGGTGGGGTTTTGGGTATGTAAATAAATAAATAAACAAGAGAGACAGAGGGGCAAACAGAGCCAAATGGGCATCTAATCACCTTCCAACCAATCTAAATATTCGGACCGACATTTTGCTATTCGTCTTTTATACAACCATATATGGTCTCATTCTATCGTTTTCTTAATTAATTGCAATTAGTGTATTATACAATAATGGTAGTTTATATGATATTGTATGTAAAGATCTCGGGAAGCATATCAGGGTAACGCATACATTCACTTGCTCCTATGATTTTGAATGCAAGTGTTATATATATGGCACTTGCTCGTATGATCCATTTGACAATTCTAGTTGGAGGAGAATCACAAAGAACTATTTGTTTAATTATGCTCAAAATGATTTCCACTAAATCTATTTTCGTATTCTTGTTAGAGACGTATATTAAAATTAATTTAAAATGATGAAAACTAAAATCTATGTTTAAAAATAAAAATCTTTGAATAAAAGATATTGTTGAAATTCGAACCAAATCTAAATTTAAAATAAAACAATTGAGGAGAAATGAAAGGCTAATATTTTTTTAGGAAAATGAAAAAAGATTAAAGAAATTATGGAATTATAAAGCAAATGTTTCCTCTTGTCTCATCCTCAGGTGACTTTTGGGTTTTTGGATTTTTAAATTTCTACATTTTGATCTATATAATATTAATCAATTTTCCTTAACAAATGTCAATCCAACAGAAAATATTATCTATACATAGGACATGTAAATTTTTTATACGGATATTAAGAGATAAATATTATTTAACGTAAAGGCTACGAAGTTGAAATAGATAAAAAAACACATGCGTATGTCAACAGAGCACTTCAAAAAGCAATATCTTTTTTTTCCCCCCTAAAAAATCAATATATAAGGTTATATATACATCAGAAAAAAAAACATGATAAAGAAAAAAAGGAGAAAAAAAGATATTATAATTGAAGGAAAGGTGGGATCATCACCTCGTCCCATTGGTCAAAGAATCCTTTTTTTCATTAAATAAATTTCTGAATCTTTATTTCATGTCCAATAATTTAGCCAATCTTATCTGTGAAAATTTTAAAACAATATAGAAATCTAGAAATCTTTTATACTTCTTTTTATCGTGAAGATTTTATTATAAATTTAACTAAAAAAAGATATATAAAATAGATATATATAAAATATTTATAAAGTGGACGTGGAACCCATGCAACAATAACAAAACCCTAAAACAGCCACGGTTTTCCACGTCGCAAATAATGTTTCGCTTGTGGAGTCAATTGAATGAATAGACCCATTTGATAATATGATTTGTTTCAGCACAAACTAATTTAATTTTGATTAGTGGAAGAGTGGTTTCAAGGTAAGCACTCAACCACATCGTGGTGGAGCTTATGTCATCAATATTTATATGGTTCCCCGGTTTGTTATTATAAATTAAATTGTTATTGATGACGATTAATGTTAGAGTACCGTTATATTATATCTAATACAAGTGAAGCATTCGCGTACATTTCATCTAATTGGAGGGCAATTATTTTATATTGCTATGAAAAGATTTATGGATACATCGACTTTTTTATTACATTTTCTTGAAGGCATGTTTGCAATTTATTCAAATAAAGTTATGCATATTGTTTTGCATATGTGAAGTAATGATTTGTATGAGACTTTCCACAATCGTGTTTAACGTGTGGATGTCTAATTAATTTATTAATAGATGAAAAAGGTAATTTACTAATGGAAAGTGGTTAAACATTATCAAATTGAATTTAATTGATTGATGAATCGACAGGACAACCTTTACCTAAATAAAAACCCAGGCAATCCCCTCTAACATTGTTTCAATTGATTTAATTTGGAATTTTATTATGCATATATAATAATTAAACCTTTGAAATTGAGGGGTCGAATGCAACAAGGGACATTTACTCTCTTAATATATATTTTTTTTGTCTAAGAAATGGGAAATGTAAAAAACACGGGTATATGAAGATTAGGACAAAATCATTTGATAAGGTAAAGAAAAAAAAAACTTTAACTGTGTTTGCACAATGCGTTACATCGTCTGTTCTGTTCTGTCCATTTCTGTGATCAACACAACATATAGGCTGCCACACTATAACACTGATAATGCAGCAGCAGCAGCAGCAGCAGCTTCTTATTAACGTTTAAATACAGAGCTGTGTGGATGGACAAGACAGGACAGGACAGGACGGCCTCTTGCATTGCTACACGTTTAGCTTTTTTCTCTCGAGCTCTATCTAAGTGGTCACTAGATGAGGGCCGTCTCCTGGTCGCGGGAGGACACAAGAGTATGTTACATACTTCACTCTGTCCATTAGCACTACTACAAAAACTCTGGACAGTGATTTTTGCCCCATCATCCCATCATCAACCTCCCCTTCCCCTCCTTCTCTGGGATCAACCAGCACAGACACCACCATTGATGACCCTGCTGCTGCTGGTTTGGGTTTTCCCATGCCTTCTTGGCTGGAGCTTTTCCGGGTGTGGTTTTCGGTTAGGTTGAATTCAGGTCCAGATCCTGGAAGCGGAACAGGGAGACCACGTAGGATCCGTCTGCTCTTTCCCCTGTCCGTGTTAGTGGTGTTGTTCTTACTCTGTTCAGTGGAGACATTGGAGGCTGGGGAAGCAGGA